AAATACAAGAAAAACTGCATACAGCTCCCACTGAAAGCAAAATCTGCAATAACGAAACATTGTTGTAACAGATCTAAGAGTAATAGATTAGTTTTCATCAAACTCTGAATTTTCAGATAAAACCTTATCAAACTATCACTCTTACGCGGTGAAACATCTTATGAGGATTCTATGGCAACCTATCAACTTCTCAGATAGATATAAATAATCTCATCATGTGGTTACATTATATTACTCATCTCCAGGCATACCTGTTGCAGTTTATGAATCCTAACACTCTCGATTACTTCACGGTCTATAACTAGAGAGATTACCAGGAAAACTTACAACTTTCTGCGGTGTCATAGCGAAAATGAGATATTTACCTTGTGGTACATGAAAACTGATGCCACCCGATATGTTCGGTTTGTATACATATATGATGACTGTTTCGTTACTGAGGCCCTGAAAACACATTCTCTAATATATCATGCAGTTTTGGTGACCGTCTCCGGAACAAAGGTTCTAGCCGGAAAGATGGGACACCGATCTGCCATCTTTTGGCATCATACATCTCATTCCATGCCTGTACAATCTCATCGATCTTGAAACCCATACCTGCACTTGTTGTTTTATTATTACATATTTGCAAGTATTTTTTCCAGAGATTAGGTTAGTATTCATAGATAAACATAATTACCTTCAAGTGCATTCTCGTTTGAGCAATGATTCTTTACCATGACAGCTATATCGGTTGCAGAAGCTCCAGCTAATTCAAATTTCTCCACTGCAACCTCCAAGCATTCATCCCAAGTCGGTAAGCCAAGCTTATACTCCACAATAGACCGTTCATACAATAAGGAACCCCACAAAAGGTTAATCTGGGAGCTCATATTAGCTGTTTGCTCCGCATTTTCCTCATCGGACGCTTCACTAAACACCCCATCCAAGCCCAACTTCTGCAGCAGTTCTTTATGTTTATCAAAATTGGAGATTCCATTCAGACGACGTTCTTCCATCTCTTCCCAAATTTGCATACCCTTTTCCATGCTCTCCTCAGCTTTGTTATATAGCTTTAAGACATCCTGGGAAACCTCGCTTTCTATATCTATCTTGCCACTGAGTGCATGATACCAGCAAAGCTTAGCCTGCTCAAACTGTTGTTGCCCGAGTGCTAGTAGAGCTTCATAGAAATCAGATTTCACTTTTACAGCTTCTTCATATTTTTCTGCGGCTTTGTTGTACTCATTATTTGCCCATTCAAATCCAGCCTCAACTCTCTCTAGTATAGTTTCTCTTGAACCATCCTCGGGAAAATAGATCTGCCTTCTTGCCTTAGACATATGAACATTCCCCCAATTAAACATGGCAAGTGCAGCCATTTCTTGGAATTTATCAGCGGCAATATCAAAGAGTTCTTGCGCATCTTCGCCAGTGACAGTATCTTCCATTGCTTCTGTATACAGCTTCATCCCAAGGTTATGAAGGTCCAAGTAAGAATCAGAATCAAACCCAACATGGTTCTTGAACAGTTGTGCAAACTGGAAAATCCAGTGCTCAAGGCTAGTAGATGCTTTCTCAGATTCCACACAGTCTCCGACGCTTCCATTATCAGCAACACTGCTTGATCCCTTGGCAAACTTATCGGTTGATTCGTCATTGTTCATGCCATCATAAGTTGGTTCTTGGTTGGGGCTAACTTCAGCTATATACAATCTAAGGGAGCCAAGTTTTTCCCTCGTAGATGTAGCCAGCTTCAGCTCATCTGTCGTGGTAATGGTAACCAAATCACCTTCTGCATCCCTATATTTAATCAGGCAACCCCTCAGAGCAGGAAACCGAACCCTGATTACATCTCTTACAAGTCTAACACTAGAATCCACTGGCAATTGTGCCCACCGGATATCATCTCCATGAACCAGCTTCACTGTTCTAGTCACTGTTGCGTCTTCCTTAGTGCTGCTTCCTCGTTCAACAATCTCTGAAGCGATGACCTCTTTGTCCATGACAGGACTCACTTTCTTCTCCTCAACAACAACCTTATCCTCCAGCTTCTTCTCTTCTTTGATGCCACCAATGTCTCTATCAATCTTATCACTTTTCTTCCCGCTATCTGCTTCCTCTCCGTTTTCAACCTTGGCATTCTCAACAACGCCTTCGTTACTCTGCCTCTCCTCATCTTTCTCAGCAA